TGAGTGAAATTCATGAGAAGTCGTGTGAGTGTGATAATGAATGGGTGTTACCTGTGACAGAGTGTATGTCATTAAATTAAAAGAGAACAGAGCAGATGGGTTATGTCAGAGTCTGTCGCTCCCTGTCGCCATCACAAACACACTCACTCACTCACTCAGTGAACGTTACAGTAGTGTGCGTATATAGTAAGTACAGTGTCAATATGTGTGTAATGTCTGTGAGGAGAGAGAGAGTAAAAACAACATTTATGTTGGAGATAATAAGAGAGTCAGTCAGATGGAGAAGTGAAATCAGTGGATGGAGTGTAGGAGGCGGAAGAATGCTTGGATCTGACAGATGAATGATTAAGATTGTTCTTTCACAGTATTCACTTCATCTGAGTTCTACAATGGAAGTTCTTCAACTCGTGGGTAAATGTGTTTTTCCTGTTTCACACATGATGTGAGAGCCATTATCTCAATCTCCATTGTTACAAGACTAGAGCGGTTTGAAGATGTAACGTCGTCAAATAGCAGTGAGGGTTCAAAGCTTAGATGAACTAAAGTCTGTTGTTGTTCTCTCTGGATGGATGGTCAGTGTTTTTTCCCTTTGATGGGTAGCGCAGTGGTCTAAGGCACTGCATCGCAGAGCTAGCTGTGCCACTAGAGATCCTGGTTCGAATCCAGGCTCTGTCGTAGCCGGCCGCGACCGGGAGACCCATGGGGCGGCGCACAATTGGCCCAGCGTCGTCCAGGGTAGGGGAGGGAATGGCCGGCAGGGATGTAGCTCAGTTGGTAGAGCATGGCGTTTGCATCGCCAGGGTTGTGGGTTCGATTCCCACGGGGGGCCAGTATGAAAAATTAAATAATATATGCACTCACTAACTGTAAGTCGCTCTGGATAAGAGCGTCTGCTAAATGATGTAAATGTAAATGTCTTGAAAAGGATTGGATTAGTCAATCACTAAGCGTAAAACTTGGGTTACTCTCACCCCCGGTGTCTGTCTGTAGGCTCTATTGTGGAGACAGAACAAGAGAGAGTAAGTACAGAGAGGTGAGGGATAAGTGAGGGGTGAAGGACAGAGAGACAGAGGAGATCAAGAGGACAGGACAAGGAGAAGTGTGTGAGAGGACGCTATTAAAGTAAGTCTGTGGTCAGTCACAGTGCAGATCAATAGAGTATCATGACTTCTCATCAATGGCAGGGAGCACATGTGGTTTTAAAGTCCCAGCCACTCTGACCTGTTGTGGACCAATGGAGACATGCTGCTGCCCTGCCTCTTTAACACACGCTGACAGGCAGTCCATCAATAATGAATAAGGAGGAACAGGAGGAACAGGAAGCAGAGGGCAGCTAACGAGGAGGTGACACAATACATCTCTTCCCCACTCACTTCTCTCCTCTCTGCTTCTCATCACATATTGTCAGAAGTTCCCACAGTGTCATGTTTCTTTTCCGCTCAAAGGTTCCCCATCGGTTTCTAATCCGAATTTCATCCGAGGTGAAGAGAGTTATGTTGGGGCCTTCTGAGTGTACCTGTAGCACCACAGAGGGCCTCAGTCAGTAGCAGCACTGTGACAGGACTACAGGAGGCTCATCCATAAAACATGAGGCTCTGATGTCATCTGTGATATGGCCACCCTCATGATTTATACAACAAACGTTTTACTCATATATCAACGTCGTCTAAGTGTATTATGTAAACACATGAACACAGTCACAAACACAGGCAAAACATTCATATGTTTAATTCAGTCTAAAGAGTCAAAATATTACAGCACCAAGTTGTTGGCGCAATGGAAGGGGGAGCATATTTGGGGCCTTTCACAAAAAATTGATATGTTTTATTGTCACATACACCGGATAGGTGCAGTGAAATGTGTTGTTTTACAGGGTCAGCCATAGTAGTACGGCACCCCTGGAGCAAATTAGGGTTGGTGATGTGCCTTGGTCAAGGGCACATCAACAGATTTTTCACCTTGTCGGCTCAGGTTTTCGAATCAGCGACCTTTCAGTTATTGGCCCAACGCTCTAACCGCAAGGCTACCTGCCGTCCTAACACTCTAACACTCATAGGAGGGGTGGCAACAGCAGGGGTATCAAATTGAGATGAGGAGAGCAGAGAAGGCCTTTGGGAGGAGAGGAGTTAAATGAGAGCAAGGATGTTCCTAGTTAAGTATATTGTGTTTTCATGTGTGATATGATGCGACCTCGGTTTGGATATGGCTAGGAGCCAGACATAAAAAGGCTATCTGAGTCCTCCTGTGTGATGTGGCAGCCAGCGTGGTGTCCCTATCTTTTGGTGTTTAACTGTGTGGCTATGTCACCAACTTCTGTGTCCAAACTGTCCATGTTTTCCACTCCATAAAAGGAGCACTTTGATGGTGCTCTGTGGTAAGTCGTATACTATTTATACGTCAAATGGAAGACAGACATGCAGTATAGACTGGGTGTGTGAGTTTAGTATCTGTTTGCAGTTGTGTGACTAAATACAGTAGCCTGCTCAGTGCTATATATTTATGTGCTGTGTGTATACACACTGAGTAGATTCGCTGTAACACACACTTGTAGCATTATGCTCATGATGACTGTCCATCACTCACGGCCCACAATGCATCTACACCGACCTAAACGGTGTTAATAGTCAATCCATCGTCATGGCAACAATGCTCCTCATTCCTCAACTGCCTCTCCGCCCACATAGGTCTCACAGCAACCGTCACTTAGCAACCTCCTCTTCCTTCTCAGTTTCTCCATTTGTGAGGCTGCGGGGGCAGAGAAAGAAATGGAGTAAGAGATGATGATACGTCAAGAAAATATGATATTATATATGATATGACCAAAAATATGATATTATATATGATATGACCAAAAATATGATATTATATATGATATGACCCAAAAAAATATATAATATATGATTTTAAAATATATATATATTATATATGATATGACCAAAAATATGATTAAATGTGACTAAAAAGAGTGGAAATATTGACTGGTTTTCACTGAAGCTAGAGATCTACAGAGCTTATCAAGAGGATATTTTTTGAGAAGTCTGATTAAACATAAATAGAGTAGGAGAAAGTTATCTTTATATTGCTTGGCCATATGCAACATGAAGTATAGTACAAATCACAGAAGGTTCATGGCACCTTAATTGGGAAGGAGGGGCTCGTGGTAATGGCTGGAGCGGATTTAGTGGAATGGTATCAAATACGTGTTTGATGCCATTCCATCTACTCCATTCCAGACATTATTATGAGCCGTCCTCCCCTCAGCAGCCTCCACTGATACAAATAAAACAGATGTATTGGCCACTAACATTTCTCAATGAACAAAATCCATATTCCAACTGAAGTCTTTATCTGAACTGATCTGCAGTCAGGTGAACTTTCCAGTAGTGGTCAGAGTTGTGTCGCTGTACAGCTGGCTCCAGTCATTGTGATTACTGTTGTTATTACATAACATGCTATGGTTTCCTTTGTTCAGCCTTTCACAGTACTGTGGCCTTGTTTCACCTTCTTTACCAGAGAAAACAGTGCATTTCTCGGTACAGGAAATGCTGTTGAAAACCACTATGACGTGTGTGTACATGATGATTAATGGTTGTAACATCAACACTCTATTACACAAATAACATAGTATTCTCAACCTTAACTAATGTGTCTAGGATCATTGGTGTTGTTTGCCTGTTCTGTTTCTATAGTCCTCCAGTGTTCCTTCCTCCCCGTCATATATTTTCTGTCAGCTCCACACCAACCACAGGAAACCACTTCTTCTCAGCGGAAGAGAAGGAGAGAAACAGGAAAAAGGGAGGACCAAAAAGAGAGAGAAAGAACATAACTTTACAAATTGTTGTACCCTATTCCTACAGAACATGTTGTAAACACTTAGGCATTTTACAAAGACATTTGCCTGCTTCATAGTCTGAATATAGTCACATAAATGTGCATGCTGCCCCAGTTTCAGTTTCCTTGGGCCTCTGCTCTGTCATTACGTTTTCTTCAGGAAGTGAGAAAGAACCAGAGGGCAGAGCCTGGACAGAGGGGGTGTGGCAAGGGAAGGGAGGAAGTCAAGGCAGGGGCATGTGACTTGTGACTGTGGTGAGGTGGTTATTCACTGACGGACTGGCTGACTGGCTCTCTGTGTGACTGTTGCTACATGGGATAGAGAGCAGGACAGTGGAGTAGCTGTTGGATTACCTGGAAGATCAGGGCCTGAGGGGACTGTTGGGCTGGATAGGAAGCTGCCTGCTTAGGCTGTCTCTACATGTCTGTGTGGAGTTACCCAGCTCTGTTGATCTTATGCAGTAGTTCATTATGTAGGCTACATAGGTCAGACAAGTGTGTGTTGTAGTACTGTACAGGCCTAGTGGACAAAGTTAGCGTTAATGTGTATGTGTTTGTTTCATAATCTATTTCTCAAAAGTACAGTCCTGTGCGTGCATGCGATTGGCTGTTATTGTAAACACATGATCTTTCCAGACAGGTGTGGAATGAGTGGTATGTGGCACTGGTAGTGGAACATGTTTATGGCTAATGAATGCCCTAATATGAAAAAGACTGTTATTTTACTGTATGACAGAGAGAGAATGTGAGACAGAGAGAGAGAGAGAGAGAGAGAAGTCTGAACAAGGGTACTAAACTCAGTAGTACATTAACTGCACAGGGAGTTTTCCGGCCTGGACAAACAAAGAGGGATAGAGAGGGTACAGAAAGAGAGAGAAGGGTCAGAGAGGGAGCGAGAGGGCAGAGACCCCGTCACCTGCAGAACTTCGGTTCACAAGGCAGGAAACAACACACGATTCTGTCAGCTCCAGTGGAAGGAACATTATTTTGGAGGAATGGGAAATTCTGATCCAGCCTGTTGCTCCGATCACGTTGTTCTATTACCATTGGTGTGACTGAAAGGGTTGCTGCACATATGAAAAAAATCAATTATTATATTTGTTGTGGTGAGAAGCTAAGTACGAAGTGCCAGTGTGAATGTGTTTGTGTAAGTCTGGTCCTCTTCCATCATGAGATCCAGCAGGAGAAGTTTCCTGCTACGCCGGTCTAATGTCTACATGTGAGTGACTTATCTATTAGTGACAATACATCTGTGTTTGGAGCTGGAGATCGTTTGGGGCTGGAGATGACTAAGGTTAAGTATGTCCCCTTTTCATCAAGCCCTTTCCCCTCTCATTCATCCTTCTCTCCCGACAGTGTGGAAACAGAGACCCAGTGTGCGGCGCCTCCCAGGGCCCACTCAGACGGCCCCTACAGCCAGACCACAGCGTACCTGCGTGGCACAGAGCGCTACAGTGACAGCAGCCGTGGTCCTGGTCCTCCAGGCCCTCGGGGGCCTCCGTGTGTGGCCCCTCCCAGCTCGGCTAGCCTTGCCTGGGCACTGCGAACACGCAATCAGCCTGCCAGCCTGGCCCTCCGCAAGCAGGAGGAAGAGGAGAACAAGAGGTGCAAGGCCAGTCTCTCTGACAGCTATGAGCTCTCCACAGACCTACAGGACAAGAAGGTACCCTGGGGTGTGGGGGTGTTTTATTTTGTTCACCTTTATTTAACATCTGACAACGGATGCTTAAAGTTAGTGAGGGAGATAAGAGTCTCCAGCTTCAGAGATTTTTGCAGTTCGTTCCAGTCATTGGCAACAGAGAACTGGAAGGAATGGCGGCCAAAGGAGGTGTTGGCTTTGGGGATGACCAGTGAGATATACCTGCTGGAACGCAGACTACGGGTGGGTGTTGCTATGGTGACCAGTGAGCTAAAATAAGGCGGGGATTTGCCTAGCAGTGATTTAAACCAGTGGGTTTGGCGACAAATATGTAGTGAGGGCCAGCCAACAAGAGCGTACAGGTCACAATGGTGAGTAGTATATGGGGCTTTGGTGACAAAACGGATGGCACTGTGATAGACTACATCCAATTTTCTGAGTAGAGTGTTGGAGGCTATTTTGTAAATGACATCGCCGAAGTCAAGGATCGGTAGGATAGTCAGTTTTACGAGGGCATGTTTGGCAGCATGAGTGAAGGAGGCTTTGTTGCGAAATAGGAAGCAGATTCTAGATCTAACTTTTGATTGGAGATGCTTAATGTGAGTCTGGAAGGAGAGTTTACAGTCTCACCAGACACCTCGGTATTTGTAGTTGTCCACATACTCTAGGTCAGACCCGCCGAGAGTAGTGATTCTAGTCGGGTGGGCGGGTGCAAGCAGCGTTCGGTTGAAGAGCATGCATTTAGTTTTACTAGTGTTTAAGAGCAGTTGGAGGCTACGGAAGGAGTGTTGTGTGGCGTTGAAGCTCATTTGGAGGTTTGTTAACAGTGTCAAATGAAGGGCCAGATGTATACAAAATGGTGTCGTCCGTATAGAGGTGGAGCGACATCATTGATATACACAGAGAATAGAGTCGGCCCGAGAATTGAACCCTGTGGCACCCCCATAGAGACTGCCAGAGGTCCAGACAACAGGCCCTCCGATTTGACACATTGAACTCTATCTGAGAAGTAGTTGGTGAACCAGGCGAGGCAGTCATTTGAGAAAGCAAGGCTATTTAGTCTGCCAATAAGAATGCAGTGGTTGACAGAGTCGAAAGCCTTGGCCAGGTCGATGAAGACGGCTGCGCAGCACTGTCTTTTATCGATCCCGGTTATAATATCGTTTAGGACCTTGAGCGTGGCTGAGGTGCACCCATGACCAGCTCGGAAACCGGATTGCATAGCGGAGAAGGTATGGTGGGATTCGAAATGGTCGGTGATCTGTTTGTTAACTTGGCTTTCAAATACTTTCGAAAGGCAGGGCAGGATGGATATAGGTCTGTAACAGTTTGGATCTAGAGTGTCACCCCCTTTGAAGAGGGGGATGACCGCGGCAGCTTTCCAATCTCTGGGGATCTCAGACGTTACGAAAGAGAGGTTGAACAGGCTAGTAATAGGGGTTGCGACAATTTCGGCTGCTAATGTTAGAAAGAAAGGGTCCAGATTGTCTAGCCCAGCTGATTTGTAGGGGTCCAGATTTTTCAGCTCTTTCAGAACATCAGCTGTCTGAATTTGTGTGAAGGAGAAGCGGGGGGCAGGCATGGGCAAGTTGCAGCGGAGGGTGCAGAGCTGGTGTGTATACAGAATGTGTCTGTACAGTATGGTTTGAACTCTAGTTTGTTTGTGTTGTGTTGAGAGAGAGAGAGAGAGAGACAACAACGTGATAACATGCATTACTTTACTGGCAGTGAGTGTTGTGGTAGCCCTGTCTATAACTCTTCTGTCCCCTGTCCTGTCTCCTCTGCCAGGTGGAGATGTTGGAGAGGAAGTATGGTGGCTCCTTCGTGAGCCGCAGAGCAGCCCGGACCATCCAGACAGCCTTCCGCCAGTACCGCATGAACAAGAACTTTGAGCGCCTCCGCAGCTCGGCGTCCGAGAGCCGCATGACGCGACGCATCATCCTGTCCAACATGCGGCTGCAGTACTCGTTTGACGACCGCCAGCCGCAGCAGCAGGGGGCCGGAACACAGACGAACTTCACACACAGCGTGGGCATCGGCCCTCCTCATTCACCTGACACAGAAAGGACAGGAGACTACACACACCTGGAGGACTCCTTCACCAAACAGGTTGGTCAGACATCTGGTGCATTCACTACAGCAGTGATATGTTGAATCAAGTGACTAGTTAAATTAATTCTCAGTTAGAGATTCTATTCCTGTTTGAGTCTTTGTTTTGTCATACTGCAGGTTGAATATCTGTCCCTTACTGTACCAAGCTTTTCTATCCTCTCCCTCCATGTGCCATTCAGGTGAAGTCCCTGGCTGACTCCATGGACACTGCCCTGACCTGCCGTGGCGGGCGGGATGACTCCCAGGAGGGCAGCAGGGAGGACTTTGGGGAGTGTGTGTGGAGCAGCAGCAGTAACCCCTCCTCTCAGAGAGGCCTGTGTGAGAGAGCCAGAGGAGGGGGAGGGGGCCTCAGCATGCATGGAGACAGCACAGCCACCTCCTACAGCGATGTCACTCTATACATGGACGACTGCATGCCCTCCTCACCCCTCTCCCTGGACCGGGCCCCCAGCAGCACAGACACCGAGTACTGGGGCCCTGGGGGAGGCGTGGGGGGCCGTGAGGACAGCAGGGACACTGAGGGAGGGGGTAGTAGTAATAGCCGTCGCAGCACTCCCTGCACTGAGTGTCGAGACTATCGTCTGAGGGGCGCCCACCTGCCCCTGCTCACCATCGAGCCCCCCAGCGACAGCTCTGTGGACATGAGCGACCGCTCGGAGCGTGGCTCCCTCAGCAGACAGATCTATGAGCAGGAGCCAGCGGGAGGAGCAGGCTCTCCTCAGGGAACACTCAAACACTCACCTAACACTCCCTGCCCTGTCTCCACAGCCGCAGCGCAGGGCCAGACCCGCGCCCCCGGCCGGGGCCCCCCCCTGCCCACTCAAATCCCCCACCACGTGGCACACCACCATCACCACCACCAGTACCCAGACACCCCCTCGTCCTCCTCCTCCCCCCAACAGCCCCCCACCACCCCCCTGTCCTCCTCCTCCTCTGCTGCGCTGCCTCCTGGTGGCCTAGAGCAGCCCTGTCTGTCTGACGGGGACAACGACTCTCTCAACTCCACCACCAACTCCAACGAAACAGTCAACTGCAGCTCTGGCTCCTCGTCTCAGGACAGCCTGAGGGAGCCCCTACCCCCTCTGGGCAAGCAGACCTACCAGAGAGAGAGTAGACACAGCTGGGACTCACCGCCATTCAACAACGACGTGGTGCAAAGACGCCAGTACCGCATCGGACTCAACCTATTCAACAAGTAAAACTTTTGCAATCCATTTATATTTTACATTTAAACTACGTAAAACACTCCACATATCACAATCAACCACATATCACAATCATTGAATGTAAAACCTTCAAAATAGGAAAAGTAGTAAGTCAGGATATAGTGTCACCGGGAAGGAAGTGGGAGTTGTTCTCTTGTGATTTTTCATTGTCTGATTGGTCTCTGTGATTCTCAGGAAGCCAGAAAAAGGGATCCAGTACCTGATCGAGAGAGGCTTTGTGTCCGACACTCCGGTCGGGATTGCTCGCTTCATCCTGGAGAGGAAGGGCCTGAGCAGACAGATGATCGGAGAATTCCTCGGCAACCGGCAGAAACAGTTCAACAAGGACGTACTGGAGTAAGGGAATGAGGGAGGGAGATGGGGAGAGGGGGAGGATTCCGAATGGGAATATACAGTAAACAGAGGATTACTAAAAGTAATTGGAGAGGCTACTGTTACAGTAATGACTGTGTCTCCTGTGTGTGTTGTAGCTGTGTGGTGGACGAGATGGACTTCTCAGGGATGGACCTGGACGATGCTCTGAGGAAGTTCCAGGCTCAGATTAGAGTTCAAGGAGAAGCCCAGAAAGTAGAGAGGCTCATAGAGGCTTTCAGGTGTGTGTATACTGTATGTGTTCAATAGTCTCGCTTTGCCAAACTCATGTGTCTATTCTGTTAGATTCAGTGGCTGTGGAAATAGATTGAATGTAGAGTGAGAATGTGTTGTTTTTGGAAATCCCTCTGAAATCTACTCTACTAGCATTTCGCTACACTCGCAATAACATCTGCTAACCATGTGTACTGTATGTGACCAATAAATTTGATTTTGATTTGATTTTGAACCTACTCTCTCTTTAAAGTACTTTAAACATATTCTCCTTTCTCCCCCAGTCAGCGGTACTGTGTGTGTAACCCGACGCTGATCCGCCAGTTCCAGAACCCAGACACCATTTTCATCCTGGCTTTCGCCATCATCCTCCTCAACACGGATATGTACAGCCCCAACGTCAAGGCGGAGAGGAAGATGAAGATAGAGGACTTCATCAAGAACCTCAGAGGTGCCGTTGGAACAAACAGATCCATACACATGTGCACAAAAAATACTCCCGTAACATTGAACTTAGGGTCCTCATGGGAGAAATAAGATTCTCAGGCTGGCCCCCATTCTATAACATAGCAGTGTACTGTGATCAGTGTTGACTATTGCCACTGCGCTTGTCTCATCCTTTTGGGTTGTATGAGTTCAGGGGCATGCCCTTTGAAGTTAAAAGGGAGCCTGCTACATCCCAGACACTCATAATGCAAGTCTTGAGTCTTTCAATCAAAGAGTTCTTTCAATCAAATGAGCAGAATTTTTAAAAACACCAGGAAATAGACTGATGTAGGCTAATTTAACACATAACATAATCTCTCTTTCCCTGTGTGTCTCCCAGGAGTGGACAACGGCCAAGACATTCCCAGGGACCTGTTGGTTGGGATCTACCAGCGGATCCAGAAGTGGGAGCTAAGGACCAACGATGACCACGTGTCCCAAGTGCAGGCAGTGGAGAGAGTCATAGTAGGCAAAAAGCCTGTGAGTTGTCTGGGCTTGAAATGTAACTGTAGCCCTGTGTCATGTACCTGTTTAGCCTGTGAACATCTGTAGTACTATATGTTGTTGCTATGTGTTACTGCATTGACAAGCTATAATACTAGTTTGTTCTTTGTGTTTCTGCTCAGTCTTAGGGAGATGTAATACTAAACTATTTTTTTATTTGTGTTTTGTGTAGGTGATGTCTCTGCCACACCGTAGGCTGGTATGCTGCTGTCAGCTCTATGAGGTGCCTGACCCCAACCGACCTCAGAGAACAGGAGTTCACCAACGGGAGGTCTTCCTGTTCAACGACCTGCTGGTGGTAAGGCTTCCTAACACATCCTCATAACAATGGGAACTCCTATGAGAGTCTCCTACTAATGCATATGGAGAGTTGGAGACCATCAGGCTATCCTAAACAATGTAGAAATATATATTTTTTTTCCTCTTTTCCCCTACCTTTACAACCACATATTCTCCACGTGCATTCTCAGGTGACTAAGATTTTCCAGAAGAAGAAGACTTCTGTGACGTACAGTTTCAGACAGTCCTTCCCTCTGGTGGAGATGCAAGTCCACATGTTCCAGAACTCCTGTGAGAGCCTGTTTCCTCCTCTGCCTCTTCCTCATATTCAACACTCTGTGTGTGTCTCTATGTGTCTATGTCTGTCAACATAGATCATAAAGTTAACAGCCATATGATAAATGTTATGTTTTTATATTCCTTTCTTCCTCTGTCCCTCTCTGTCACCCAGACTACCCCCACGGTATTCGTCTGACCTCGGCAGTGTTGGGTGGAGAGAGGAAGGTCCTTATCGTGTTCATGGCACCCAGTCAGCAGGACCGCACCCGCTTTGTCAGTGACCTTAGAGAGAGTATCGCTGAGGTGCAGGAGATGGAGAAGTACAGAGTGGAGTGTGAGTACACCTCCCCCTGTTGGTCACTATGGGGATTACGGCTGTGTGTGGGTGTATTGGTGGGTGGCTCCATGGTGTAACAGAGTGGCTATTGCTTTCCTGTATCTTACCCTGTCCACCTGTAAGTGAAAAACAGGAAGAAAGACAGGGATGTGGGAATATTGATATTAACTATTTCTATTGTCAATCTTCTTCTCTCTGTCTTTCTCTCGATCTCTCCTTCTCTCCGTAGCTGAGTTGGAGAAGCAGAAAGGCGTGATGCGGACTGGCCTGCTAACCGGCTTGGTCGGAGGTGGAGTGGGTGTGAAGGGTGAGGTGGCGAACGGCACCCTGGGAAGGCCCAGTCTAGATGACAACTACTCTGCAGGAGAGGGACTCAAACGCTCCGCGCTCAGCTCATCTCTCCGAGACCTATCAGATGGAGGTAAAACATGCACACACACACTCACACACACTCACACACACACACACACACACACACACACACACACACACACACATATATATACAATACATACAAACCACTTCCTCTTGGAAATTGTGTATTATGCTAATCAAATACTCTCAGTAATCCTGCCGATTAATAGAGATATGCTTATTGCTCTTTTTAATGACTGACTGTGTTCTTTATAAGGATTCACAGAAATTCTTCAGACACTAATGTCTAGACACTGAGAGTAGAGTGTACCCTGCCCATGGGACTGCTTGAGATTCTTCCTTTGCTTCTTCTGGTCTCATCTTGTTCTATTATCTCTGGCACATGAAAGAACACTAGCTTCTGCAAGCCATATCTCTCACCTCTCTGCAAGCTCACTCAGCAACATTCTGTTACTGTATTTCCTCTCTTTCATAACCTGCCTCTTCCTGGCTGGGTGCAGGGAAACGTGGTCGCAGTAACAGTGTTGGCTCCCTCGACAGTACCATGGAAGTAAGTCTGAATGGACAAACTGAATGGTGTACCTGCCCCTTTAATACGTATACCTCAAACATAGCCATCCCAGTATATCCCTTTAATTGAGCCATAAACGTGTAGTCTTTCCCCTCGTCCTCGTCCTTGACCCTGACCCCTGACCCCTTACTCAGCATGCTCTGTGTGTTTGTGTGTTTGACTTGTGTGACTGACGTGGGTGACTGTCGTGTGCGACTGTTGTGTGTGACTGACATGCATGCGCGTGTTGTGGAATGAGCTTTGCATGCCTCTGTGCTCTCACAACACCCTGTGCATGATCTTGTTCTCAACTCTTGTTCTTCTCCATTCTTGCATATTCAAAAGTTGTTTTTTCATTGGTTTGTTGTTGGTTTGCAGGTGTTGTGGTGTTTGTAAACTGACACACTCATTGCAGTGTTCCAGTGATTTGTCCAAGGATTAATGATAGGATGTCATGCATGAATTACTTCCTTTCCAGAACTCCTCCTCAACTCTCCTTCCTCTTCCTCTTTGTCTTCCTCAGGGTTCCATCATTAGCAGCCCCCGGCCACACCAGCGTTACCCGGTTCCGGGCGTGGTCCCAGGCTGCTACCCTACAGAAGACTACCGGCCGCATCGCCCCATCCTGAGCCCCGGAACGGGGGTGGGGGGTGGGCCGGGGCAACAACACACCGCTGCTGGGACGGGAGTTGGGGGGATTCCCAGCAGTGTAGAGAGAGCGGGGGTGGGGAGCGGCCCTGGGGGGGGCAATACGGGCTCCTTCCTAGGCTCTCTATTCGGCAGCAAACGTGCCAAACCGCCAAGTCCCCTTATACCACCGGGGCCACCCTACCCCGCCCCTGTCCCCCCACCCACTACGGGAGGGCCCCCTCCTCACTCCCCTTCATCTCTGTGCCAGTCGGAGGGGGGCCCTTCCAAGATCCAGGCCCTGCATGCGCAGTACTGCCACACGGCCGCCGTGCAGCCCCCTCCCCCCTACTACCATCACCATCGCTACCACGTCCAAGCTGGCCCTCCTCCCTTGCCAGGCGGGGGCGTGCCCCCTCATATCCTTCAGAGAGGGCCGTTCCCCTGTCGCCCTCCTATTGGCCCCCCTCACGCCCAGCTCCAGCAGCTGGCCCATCTCTCCCAGCTTTCCCAGCATGGCATGCAGGGTCGCTACGGCAACATGGCGGTGGGCTGTCCTCCCCCCCTTTCTCCTCACTCCCAACATTCCCAGAACCCCCAGTTCACCCTGTACCACACGCCGCCCACACACTCTATCAGGGCGGGCGCCATGCCAGGCAAACCTCCTCTGACTTTGTCTCACTCCCACCCGCACCCCCACGCACACTCCCACACCCACCCAGGGCACCCGCTCAGTGCTACGCCGCACCCCGCCCCCCACCCACATCAGTCTCGCTTCATCTTTGGCACGCTACCCCACCAACATCAGCATCAGCAGCCGTCCGCCTCCGTCAACACCCATCACGCTGCGTCCGCCGCCCAGTATCAGCCCCAGTACCCTCCTCTCTCTTCTATCCCCCCTCCCCCCCCCCCACTCCCCTTTACCCCCCCCTTCTACCCCCCTTATCCCCCTTATGCCTCTCTGCCCTCACCCCCTCCAGCACCCCGGGCAGCCTCAGCAGGGGCCCCAAGTGACGGGGGCTGGGGCGACTGGCACAGGGGGCAGCTCCAAATCCAAACCTATCAACCGGATCAGCACGGTGGTGTGAGCAGCAGAACGTGGGGCCACAGAGGGCAGAGGTCAGAGGGCAGGATGGAGGAAGGGGGCGGGGCTAGGGCCAGGGATAGAGCCAGGGCTGGTAGAGGTGAGCAGGACAGCAGCAGCAGTAACAACAGCGCCAGTGACAAGAAGAAACGCAACTTATTTCGCCTCTGCTACTTTCACCTTCGCTTCCCACACATGTAGACAGAGAGAGCAAAGGAAAGCGAGTTGGAGCTGAATTACATGCATATACCTTCACACATACAGGACACACAAGCACACACAGGCAGAATCAACACACATAAAGCAACACCCACATAAATGTAAGCACACAAATATGTTTTTATATAGTATAGGCAAAGGCTAGACAATCATGCTTATTACATATACAACAGTTGTAGAGAGACTATAGGTGGTTCCTATGCAGTTTCTCAGGTGTATTCTATCAGCTCTCAGCACACAAACTCATAAGGGAGAGTCACAGGTAGGAGCAATGATGTTAAAGTTGGCAGCAGGCAGGAAAAGCATTAAACACACACACACAATCAACAATTTTTATAGCCATAGAACCGATGCTAGTAGTAAATGTACAGTAGAGGGCCTGTAACCCAGTGTTTCACTGTCAGAAGTATTATTGGAAACTGTACTGTGCCAAGACATGAGCTTGAGACTGTTTTAAACATAAGTACCAACATGTAATCGTGCAATGTTATCAATGGGGCACATCTGCAGATGAAAACACGCAATATTTGGGGACAATGCTGACCAACAGAAAGACCATCTCCACCCACCTGGATATAAAAAAGACTTCACCACTAAATACATTCCAGCAGGGTTGTGCATTGTAAACAGCCATTGAAGATAGTTGCAATAATTTATTCAGCTTCATAATAGCTTTGTCAATTTCCATAGCAGGTCTTCATCACTGAAAGGTATCCTTTTTTAAAGTAGACCTCAGAGACATTTGCTTTGTCTTCAACTTTTATGACTCACGGTTCAATGGCAGTCTTAGGCTCTATGGTATTTAACATGTAAAGAGAAGTCAGCTGGTTTCATAGGACTTACATGTGTGGGTGTGTGGAATAATGATGCTACCAATAATATTTTTGAATGTTTTTAAGCTTTTTTGCTGTTGTATAAATGTTACATATATAATTGCTGAGTATGATGAATATTGTCTAATAACATAACTGTTTTGATCCAGTGATTAATTATAAATTACAGATGTTTGATTGATAAAAATTATTATACAGAGGATACAAACACATATTAATTCCCTCATACTTGTATGTAATGAGGGTGTTATAAAGTGGGATTTATTTTTGTTCTCTATAATGGTTGCCATTGATAACTTCTATTATCAGTTATTATTATTGAATGTTAAAAATATGAGTTCATATTTAGGACTATTTTTGTTCTTATAGAGTTGTGTACCCTATATCTCCCTAAATTATTATTATTATTTTTTTTTAGGAGACTGGTGATTGTGTGAACTAGTACTTGCACAATGTCAGAAAATGGGTTCATCGGAGTCAAAATGCATATGAATTAATATGCTTTCCCACCTCAGACCCCTTTGAAAGATCCCCTTAAGGGCTTTGACCTTTTACCTGCTCATGGAGAATGATCCTCGTTTATGTCCTCCATGTTATCCTCCCTGTTATCATGGGACTCACTCACAAGCATCTGGTCTTGTTGAGAGAGTTTCTCACATGGCGTGTGTTTGGACGGTCTATGTCTTTGAACAAGCACGCTTTGTAATATAGTTTTGTGGTTTTGCACACGTGGTGTCTTAAAGTCAGAAATTGCATTATTTTAAACACCCTCCTCCCATACCCCCTTACCCATCCTCAGAGAAATCATCACCACCTTAATAGCCTACACCCCAGCACCCTTACTGAATGGGCTTGTCAATATATCAAACAGGTTTGTTAATCTTCTCCTCTCTCATCTCTGTTGACCCCCTTTCTAACTTCCTCTCTCTGTCCTTCTATTGCACTGTGTTTGAACAATGGTAGATTGAACTAGGTACTAGTGTTTCAGGATAAAGGGAATCATTTAATTTTAGGATGGTGAATTGTAGTTAGACATGCTAGACAAAACTTGAGGACAAAGAAATGTTGAAAGAGACAGATTAACGTTAAAAGCCAGAACAAGAATATGGGTAGTCAGGGGAAAATAAAAGGTTTTAGGGGTGGTTGATGTTGAAGCTTTGTGTTGGCGTTTCCCTGCATAATTCCCTCTGTATTATCCCTTTGTGACCCCTCTTGCATGAATATATCTGCACATATTGAATGGATTGTACTGTATAAATCGGAATGTACATATTATACTGAGGTGTGTGTGCGTGCGTGCATGTGTGTTTGTGGGTGTGTTTGTGGGTGCGTGTGAGCGTGCATGTGTGTTTGTGGGTGCGTGTGAGCGTGCATGCGTGTGTGTGTGAGAGAGAAAGACGAGCAGGGGACTTTGGTTTGAATATTGAATTATTTTTATTTTAGACTGAAGGTGAGAGAATAAATTGCAGTAATTAAGTGTTTGTATGTCAGAGAACTAATTGATATTATTTTAAACATACAGAAAGTATGATCTTAAAATTTTTATTTGTGTATGTAATAAGTATAAACTGGAAGAATAGAGAATTGAGATGTGAATATTTATTGCTTCTGATATATTAAAAAGTGTCCTTGCAGTGAAACAATCTTCTGTCTTTTATTGATGTCTTCTTGACAGAATAAATGTCTGCAAATGTGATGGACAACAACAAATTTCCTTCATTTCCTTTATTTCCTTCATTTATAGCCTACTGAATTTTCTCAGGCAAACAATTCCCAGCATATCACCACTGATTTGAAAGAAATCCGCTCAGACATCAAAAAGTAATAGATCATCATGATCATCACCACTGACAACAGACTTTTAATAACAAGAGTACCGGTTTAATTGCTATGCATACAATATTATTACTACTTGTTATTCTTGATTTGACTTTTGATTATTATTAATGGGACTTGCGAAAGCAAAATACCTACTTTAAATAATGTACAACTGTAGCTCAGCTGGTAGAGCACGGCGCTTGTAACGCCAAGGTAGTGGGTTCGATCCCTGGGACCACCCATACACAAAAAAAAAAAAAACGCATGACTAAGTCGCTTTGGATAAAAGCGTCTGCTAAATGGCATATTATTAGATTATTATTATTTCTGACTTTTTCTTTGGAACGCTACTCCTCTTACACCGTTTAAGCTAGAAACTACATTCAAACTTTAAAACGTGCAGACCATTCTGGAAAAGTGTGCTATTATACAACTTTTTGAAATCATTGATACTTTGTAAACTATTAAACTTTTTGTCCTTCTAAAAAAAACTCATCCACTTTAATGGGATTTATTCAACATTCTAAAGCTCCCATTGTTAAAAACTCCCGTGACTTCCAACATTCACAATATTCAACAGTGTAAACAATATAACTTTTGACACAAATCAGCTACTTTGACCACTTTCCAAACAACTTAGACAAACACTTAGAAGGTATGACATCTCGGTCTACTTCTCTGTTATTCAAATCTGAAATCGGAACATAATTATCTTCAACCAATCAAACGATACAGCTGTTTTATTAACTGCATCAACTACATTTTCTATCAGCTTTTACAAACAACTGAAATGTGTCACACTTTCCCAGCACTTTAGACCAAAATGTAGAGGGTATGACATCTTGGTCTATTTCCTACTATTCAAACCTGAAATCAGAACAGAATTATCTTCTACCAATCAAGAGGTACAGCTGTTTTAGGTACCGCACCAACTACTTTCATTAAGCTAACTTCCCACTTTTGAATTAACTGAATTTACTCAATTGTTTTTCCAATGTTACTTTTTATTTTAGTTTCAATTTATGTTACTGTTAAATCACAGAATAACAGGCTTTATTCCGCAATTACAGAGTATGCAGAAATGCATCAAAACACTCCAGTGCACTGGAAAATACAAGGCACACAGGGAAATATCCCAGCGATACAAAATACACGGAGCTCCACCGAGCTTCAACATCCTCCACAATAAACAATCACACACAAATACAAGGGGGCAGAGGGAACACTTATACAGGTACTGATGAGGGGATATGAACCAGGTGTGTGTAATAAACAAGACAAAACAAATGGAATGATGAGTTGCGGAGCGGCAGTGGCTAGAAGGCCGGTGACGACGAACGCCGAACCCTGCCCGAACAAGGAGAGGTGGCAGCTTCGGAGGAAGTCATGACAGTTACAATAATAGTCGACGCCGACTCTCGGTGGTCAAGGAATAGATTATTTCTGAGTCGACTCTCCACCACTAGGAAGTACATTCTAATCATGAGCCAATGAGTAAGGGCAATTCCACTATTTTCTACATTTTAGAATAATAGTGAAGACATCTAAACTATGAAATAACACATATGGAATCATGCAGTAACCAAAAAAGTGTTAAACAAATCAAAATATATTTTATATTTGAGATTCTTCAAAGTAGCCACCCTTTGCCTTGATGACAGCTTTGTACACTCTTGGCATTCTCTCAACCAGCTTCATGAGGTAGTCACCTGGAATGCATTTCAATTAACTTGTTAAAAGTTCATTTGTGGAATTGATTTCCTTCTTAATGCGTTTGAGCCAATCAGTTGTGTTGTGACAAGGTAGGGGTGGTATACAGAAGATAGCCCTATTTGGTAAAAGACCAAGTCCATATTATGGCAAGAACAGCTCAAATAAGCAAAGAGAAACGACAGTCCATCATTACGTTAAGACGTGAAGGTCAGTCAATCCGGAAAATGTCAAGAACTTTGAAAGTTTTTGTTTAACACTTTTTTGGTTACTACATGATGTTTGGGTTACTACATGATTCCATATGTGTTATTTCATAGTTTTGATGTCTTCACTATTATTCTACAATGTATAAAATAGTAAAAATAAAGAAAAACCCTTGAGTGAGTAGGCATGTCCAAACTTTTGACTGGTACCGCATATAAAAACACAGAACGTGTGAAATCTGGGTCTACTTCTCTGCTATTTAAATCTGAATTCAGAATGTAAACATCTTCTACCAATCCAACGATACAGCTGTTTTGGTAACTGCATCAATTACTTTCTCTCAACTTTTACAAACTAATACAATTCTGTCCACTTTCCCAACAACTTACATACAAACTAAGAACGTATGAAATC